TGATCAGGGCTGTGCTTTGGTGGGGTTGTGTTTGAGCATGTGTGAAGTGGGAGTGCGTGCCGGCGGTGTCTGTGGGTGCAACGGGCGTGAGTGAGGCCGTTTTGCCACCAAAATGTTCCTGACGGGAGTTCCGTTTAGCTACATACACTGAGATACTTTCTTTTCTCCCAGTAAGCTAAACGTTGACTTGCCAACAACAAACCTATGTAAAAAGTAGTTACACTGAAAATACAAAAAAAATCCAAGAGAGGGGTTGGAGGGCGGGAGAATCCAAAAAAGCCGTCCAAAAAGCCACAAAAAGCCAGCGAGCCTCCCGTTACGCGATTGCCGCGAAGCGCAGCATGATGCGTGGCCAGCTTGGGAGGCTGCGCCGCTGTCAGAGGCGGCCGCCACTGTGAGGTCTCGAGGGCCGACCGGCCGGGCGAGCATCCGCGCTGCCGACGACGTGCTCGAGGCTGACCTTCAGAGCGACGAGATTCTCGCATGCTTTGAGGAGGCGCTCGGCGAACGGCAGCCAGAGATGGGAACGGATGCTGCAGCAGGGCGAGAGGCGAACGCCGAGAGTAAATCGCGGCGCGGCCGTCGGTTGGGCGCCTGGTAAAACGGCCGCACGTGAACATGGGGCACGGTAATGGATGGGATAGGTAGAGCGGTTTAGTGGTCCGAAGGAATCAAGGCAGGGCAGTGAGCTCGCAGGCTGCTCAGTCGCCGTCGCCGCGTGTCAAGTCAGGACAGAGCTCAGAGGACACGCCCGGCCGCTGCGGCGTCTGTGGCTGAATGAGGTGCAGTGTTCCCGTGTCGGGAGTCGTGGTTGACACTCTGAGTTGACGGGGTCTAGAGTTGATTGTTGCAACTGGGTGAGTGAAAATACCTCTCGAACGAAAGGACTGAAACGATCTGCCTTTTACGGGCCGACACGGCTTGCTGTGTTAGGATCATCAGAGGTGTCGAGGTGGTGTCGAGCGGTGTCGAGCGGTGTCGAGCGGTGTCGAGGGGTGTCGAGGTGTCGAGTTTGGCACCTTGACACGGACGAGCATGGTCCTAGCCTAGATGGTGTCGAGGGGTGTCGAGGGGTGTCGAGGGGTGTCGAGTTGGTCGAGTTGGCATGGGGTGTCGAGGTGTCGAGTCGGTGTCGAGGTTTGGTGTCGAGGTGTCGAGGCCAGGGCTCAGGCTCTTACGCCACTTCGCCGTGTGCTGTGAGAGGTCGCAAGAAAAGCGCGCCGTCCGCCGATGTGCGCGATGGCCTCGACAGTATCCTCGGCGAGCGCCGATCTCGCAAAAATGGGGCTCTCCTCACCGCGCTCATCTGGTCTCGCACCGCTCCGGCCTCGCCGCGCGCCCGGGCCGCGGCGGCGTGAACCTGAACGGAAGTCGGAACCTTCCAACGGCTCTTCCTTGTACTGGAGAGCGGCTGGAGCGTGTGAACGGTTGTCTAGAAGAGGGGTGATGCCCTGTCGCCCAAACTCAATGCCCATATATGTCAATGCCACAAAACAGCCACTAGACTACATGAACTACTAGACGAACTTAACACATGTGTCAAGTGTTATATTGAATATTAGAGAGGTGTCCGTTTTTATTTATGTATGTATGTAAAAGAGGAATGCAGAAGATCAAGGGGGAGGGACGCGGCCAGAAAGACAAAGAGTATTCAATATTCGCGCCGGACGGGGGTGACGATTTCGCAACTCGCCCCGGCTTCGCGAGGCCCACTCCTAGTGTGGCACACCGCAAGCGCCCCGCGAGGGCGTAATCGAGCACACCAGCTCAGGTGGATTTGCACGCCGCAGACGGTGCCCGGCGCCACGGAAGAGAGAGCCAGCGGCGGCGGCGCTGGTGGCCGCCCCCGCCCTCCTTGCGGCGCGCGCGAGCAGCGCGGCGGTGCTTGCGCACGTAGTCGTTGCACGTCTTCTGGCGCCTGCCGACCGAAGAGCTCGGGGGGTGAGAGGGCCGGCGACGGCAGGCCCGCCGCCGCCGCTGTGCGCACGCACAGCAGGATGAAGGTGCCGGTCAGCGTCGCGGAGAAGGCCTTTGCGCCGATGGCGGCGGAGGGCTGCGAGAGGACCATCGCCGCGCAGCAGAGGCCGGCCGCCGCGTTGGAGCAGGTCATCGACGAGGCGTAGGCCCACAGCACGTAGCGGCTGTGCGGGTAGAGGCAGTAGAGGTTTAGGAGCGCGGACCCTACGAGAGACGGGGGCGGAGGGGGGGGCGCCTCCCGTCAGAGCCCTTCCGTCAGAGCCGCGTCTCCGTCGAGCAAGGTCTCGAGGGCGGCTGGCCGTCTGGGCGGCGCACCGAACTCGAACGCGACGGCGCCTGCTGAGAAGTACGGCCAGCCGGCGGGGCAGACGACAAAGGCAAACATGAGCCCGGCGAGGCAGCCTGCGGGGTGGGGAGGGAGGGGGGGGAGGAGAGGGCGGAGGGCAGTGAGGGGCGCCGCGGCGGGGGAGGGAGGTCGCTGCGGACGCGCCGATGTGGTGGAGGAGCAGCATCGGGCCGAGCCGGAAGACGATGAGGTCCTCCACCATGTAGCCTGAGGCCGGCAGGGCAGGAGAGGGTGCAGGCGACCGCCCCGGTCTGCATCTGTGTGGCGACTCATGCGTCGCACCGCCAAAGACGTAGAAGAAGCACCAGTCCCAGAAGCGCTGCCCGTTGGCGGTGAACCAGGTGGACGAAGCTGTGTCGACCCACCCCGAGATTGAGTAGTTGGCACACGCGAGCGAGAGCAAAAAGATCGCGGGCAGGACCATGATCTGCGTCCACATATGCGAGGCGCAGAGGTAGAGAGGCAGCCCGAATTCGTCGGTCGACGTCCACGAGGGATTCTTCCTGCACAGCTTACGGACGAGGGCGCTGCTCACCAGCCATGCCACTCCCACAAGCCAAGCAGCCCCGAGCGGCACAACCACCAACTCCCAGCCATCGCTGAGGCTGCTGTCGGTCGGTACGGGAGAGGGCGGCAGCTTTAGCCGCGGCGCAAGGGCCGCCGGAACACGCATCTCCCACCACGTCGTGAGCATCGTAGCCAGCGGCGCCGCGTGTTGGGGTGCCCGACGCAGCGCGTGGGGTCGCCGTGGAGGCCGACGGTGTTACGACTTTTTTTCTTTTTCCGGTCCGGGGGGGCCTCTTTTCTTCCCGATCATCCCACAATCGCTGTCGTGGGATCGCTTGTCAGGGAGAAAGCCAGTGTGGCTTGCCCGCCAAAAGAAAGCCAATTTTTGACTTGGGCCCTCGGGCGGCCTTCTCTCGAGGTCTCGAGATACACAAAGCGGCCAACAGCGTGGCTGCCACACACCCGTGAGTTTCATTTCTCTTTTCTTGCTGGTGAGGTTGTCTGCTGTGAGAGAGGCGTCCTTGAGCTCGCGCAAGGGACGCGACGCCATCTCCATGCTGCGGAGCGCGCGTCCGATTCGGCTGGCTCAGGCCGCCACCTCGCGGCGGATCTTCTGGGGCCGCGGCAGCTCGGATCCGCCGCGGCCGCTCGCACCGCCAGAAACGGTCGACGCGTGGATGGCCGACTCCACACTCATCGACCCGGGCCTGCCCGTCTGGCGGCGCGCAGAGCTGTGGCTGACGCTGCGCATGCTTCACGGGCTTGACCTTGAGGACTTCCTTCGCGGTGCGTCCGGCGCCTACCCCGTCGTGCTGCGGGCGATGTATAATCGCGACTGGCCAGTGCTCGAGCCGCTGGTCTCGGAGCAGTGCCTCGACGCGATGCAGGCGACCATGGAGGACATGGCGCGGAATGCCCAGCGGGTGGACCTGGCCGGCGACGAGTCCGACTTTCAGATGATCTCGTGCCGTCTGAGCCGCGCCCAGATCCTGCAGAGCGACAGCGAGACGCCGGCAGGCTCGTGCTTGCTACACGTGAGCTACGAGGTGCAGGAGCGGTACACCATCCTCGATTGCCACTCGGAGCAGCCGCTGCCGCCCTTTGACGGAAGCGCGAGGGAGCAGAAGTCGACCTGGGTGTTTTCGGGCGTGGTCACGCCACCCACCGGCGAGGAAGCCTCGGGCAAAGGCGAGGGCGAGGACGGCGGCGGAGGCGGAGGGGCGCGGGATGAGGTGGAGCATGGGTGGCGGCTGCACTCTGTGGTGTGATGCGCCGGGCGCGGAGAGTGTTTTTGGTCCCCAAATCCCTCGGTCCCCCCTCCTTCACTTTTGTCCTTGGTGCTTGGAGCACTTGGACACTGCGGGGGCCGGGGGGCGCGGGCGGGGGGGGGCGGCGGTTGGCCCAACGCATCTCCGGATCTCCGCGGCCCCCAAGCCCCCAACCCGGTCCGCCGGTCCTCACTTTTCTCTTTTGACTTCTCGCGGGGCCCCTCATTTTTTCTACCTCCCTCTACGAACAAAAGCCTCTGTCCAACGGTCCGTTCACAGCCTTTGTTATTGAGAAGAAAATACGTCCTATAATGGCGCTTTGGCGCTGAGTGTGCGCTGGTCTGTGAGAGGTTGAGGTGCGAGCGAGCCCTGGAGGCCCTAGGGATGGGGGGAAACTACCCGCGGGCCTAGAAGGCCCGAGCGCAGGGGGGTGTTCACAGAGAAAAAGAAAAATTCGCGGCGGAAAAATCCTGTAAACCACCCCCTCTCTCTGCCTCGCTCCGACCCGACCATGCTTCTCGCTCCTCCCATGCTTCTGCCACTCGTTCTTTCCCTGACAGCATGGGCGCCGTATCGTAGCGCGCTGCCGAAGCTGGTGTCCGGGAGGCAGGCTGTGGCGGCCAGAGCGGCCGCGGCTGTTGCCGCCGACGCCGACACCGTGGACGCCGAGGCGGATGCCTTCTTTCGTAGCATCGACGAGAATTGTGACGGGCTCATATCCTTCGAGGAGCTCTCCAACCACCTCGGCAGCTTGGGGTATGCGACGGGCGCTATCGAGCATGTGGTTGACATGCTCGACCTAAATCGCGACGGTGCCCTCTCCGTTAAACACCCGGTGAGATGATGGCACGGAGATGAGATTTCACACTGCGTTGCGCCACAGGCGAAATCTCGCCCGAGGAGCTGCGCGAGAGCTTCAGGCGGTACGACGATCCCGCGCTGCGTGCCGCCCTGGGACTGAGCCTGTCTGCTGCGGATGCCGTCTTTGATGCGCTCGACGCAAACGGCGACGGCGCGATCTCCAGGTCGGAGCTGGCCGCATACCTGAAGGGCAACGGCTACGGCGACCCCAAGTACCGCTGCACGGCCGACGCAATCTGGCAGATGCTCGATATCAACGCAGACGGCGCGGTCTCTCGATCCGAGCTGCGGAGCGGCTATCTCACCTACTCGGCGCTGCGAACGGCGCTCGGCATGGGGAACAGGTGATACTAGGCTCGAGATGGAGAGTCAAGGTGAGTGGAGATGCGTGTGTGGATGGTGGTTGGTGACGAGTTGTGGTACAGGGAGATGCGGTTGTATGTCGCCATGTACATCACACGAGTGTTCTTCTCTCAACCCGCGTCTATAACTACTCTCTATATAGAGATTAGTCATTAGACTTTAGAGGGAGTACACACGGCGACGGGGCCGTTTCACTAGAGTATCTCTCGCTCATTCCCCAGTTCCCCACTACCCTTCTCCCCTTTCCCCCTGCCCGCGCCCCGGTCCGGGGTAGAAGAGACTCTGAAAAGGGTGAAGAGAGAGTACGGGCTACGGCTCTCTACACACACCTTTCCTAATATAAGAGAGAAGAACGTACAGTATGTTAGCGCTGCACCTGCATTTTGGGCACATGCAACCCATGGTCCATGCTGAGACGCGTCCCTATAGCACCTATGTTTCCTAGCACCGCTCTGCCTAGTGAAGAATGAGGTCCCGGTTGGAGTGCCGGGCCTTCTTCGCTTTGTTGCGGCGGCGGAATGCTCTTTGAACGCGGGCGAGCGACTCCTCCGTCGTCAGACGCGACTCCCCGCTGCGCGGCGTGATGGAGCTCCAAATGGCGGAAGCAGTACTGGGAATCGCTCCCACTGATGTGGTCCTGGGCAGTTTGACCTCCGTCTTTGACGACTTCCGGCCAGACGCAGAGCCTGCAAAGTCGCCCCACGCAAGTGGCTGCGCCGCCGCTCGAGCAAAGTCCACCACGGCGCTCGCAGTAGCAACCGTGTCCGCGTCGTCCTCGTCCATGGACAGCTGCTCGCCAGCGGGGCCCTCTCCAGTGCACACTGCCTGCAGGATGGACATGAGCCGCATATTGAAGTCGTCCTGAAAGGTTGCGCACGGCAGGTCGTTGGGCGGGTAGAGGAAGGGCTCCTCCATGTCGCGCGCCACCTCGTTGAGCCCAAAGTAGGAGAGGATCGTGACGAAGGAGAGGGCTGGGCCGAGGATCATTGAGCAGACCCACATCGAGTAAGGGAACGCCCCCTCGATCTTAGCCAGCTGGTCGATCTCCGAAGTCCCCCATTCGTCTTCAAAGTGCCCGACTTTGGCAACGGTCACGAGAGGGACAATCGGAATAAGCAGCAAAAGCATCGTTGCCACCATTTGCGCGTACGGGAAGGGGAAGGGGGTGTCCTCCACCTTGCGCGCCTGCGCAAAGGCCACCATCCCCTCCGAAAGCGCCTGGTACACACGGGAAAAGACAGGCGGGTCGACGGCGAGGCCGCCGTTGAAGCGGCGCTCCGTGAGCATGCGGCAGAGGCGGGCGTGGACGAGGCCAACACGATCAGGCGCGATGCGCAGCCTGCGCGCCTCGGTTGCAGAAACACCTCCGAAGACGGACAGCGGCGAGAAGGCAAATTTCGCTCCCGAGGGATGTTTCCGTTCCTTGGAACGGAGATCGGTGGCTGCCGTCGCCTCGGCACTGCCCTCGTCGTCCTTCTCGTCGGCGGCGGGTGCATAAGCGTTTGCACCATGCTTGCTTCCACCGTGCTTACTTCCATCTTCTGACGACGTCTTGGCTGCTTTTGCAGCTCGGCTTGCAACCTCAGCAAAGCGATGTCTAGGACTGGTGCCCTTGGCGCTGTCACCTTCGACAGGCCTCGGTGGCACCCGCAAGCGCGCCGTGATGTTGGTCTGAGTCTTCGCAGAATTGATCTGCTCCTGCTTGGCGGCCCTGGGCGTATTTTCTACTCCCAGTGGGGGGCCTGGGCCCCGGGCCCCCTCTTGTTTTCTGTTTTCTGTTTTTGTTTTCTGTTTTCTGTTTTTCAAAACGCCCGCCCGCAGGGGGGTTTTGTCCCACAGGGTTTTACCCTCCGCGTGAGGATCGGCGCGGCGAGGGGGTAGGTTCGAATTCGCCGCGCAACATTTCACCCCCACAGGACCCCGCCCACCCCCCCTCATGGTCCCACCTAGCACCCCAATGAGCTTTCGCACCCCCTCCTTGCGCAGTGTCCCCCACTATGTGTCGCCGTCTTCGGGGCACGCTATCCTGTGCAGTCAGGGCAAGTGGGGGCGAGGCGCAGTCCCATCTCTCCTGTGTACGGGTGGGTTCTGTCCCTAGTCTCGGAGGGGGGCTTGAAGCTAAGAATATTTTATTTTTTCAAAACGCCCGCCCGCCCGCCACCCCGAGGCGGCTCGGCCCCCCACAGGGGTTGTTGCACGAATATATGGGCCAAAAGCGTCGAAAATGTCCCAAAAAGCGTGTCTCGAGTTTGTTGCAGCCCCACAGCCGGCGCGCGCTGCCAGGAAGCACCGCTCGCGTTTCGGCCGCACTCCCTGGCACCCAGTGAGTGCGGCCGACCGACCAGACCGAAAAGGCTCGACGCCTTGCTCGCTGTGGGGCTGCAACAAACTCGCCGCCGAGCGTGCCACCGACGGCGTCCCGGCGGAGGTGGTGGAGTTTGAGACCTGAGGCTGCGGAGGTGACGCCTGAGGTACCGGCCCGTGCACGGCGACTCAGCCGGCGACCGCCACGGGCTCAGGCGAGACTTGTCGACTCGTTCCGGCTCAGCTTCACCGTGGTCATCGGGCGTCTGTCGACGTCAGGACCACCCATACAGCTCGAGGGTTTGAGGTCGCAAGAGCCAAGATGGTGGCGTTTGGACATCCCAACCATCCCACAAGACAGCCTGTAGGTGATGGCGGGACGGCGCAGTGTTTGTGGCACTCGGCAGTAGGCACCTGCGGCACGGCCCCTCGGCCCCGCTGTCGGCTCTCGCGGGCTGCGGAACCGGCCCCAGAAGGGGACGGTCCGGGCGAGTGTGGCAGCTCCTGCGCTAGTATGGGCACCATCTATCACAACACTACTGACCCTGGCCATTAGAGCTGCCAGGGATAGCGTCAGGAGCCGGTAGGAGTCAAAACCCCTCATATTTGAGACATCGTGGCAGGGTAGGCTCCGCCTCACTGCATCTCGGACTGGATTCCACGAATTGATTTTCCTAGCGTCGTCAAAGTGAGCTGAAAGCTCGCTCAAGAGCCGATGGTACCCGCCGACCGCCTCCCATCTCGCCGCTGCTCTGGCGGGGCGGCGGCGGGGCCTGGCGACGGCGCGCGGCGCATGTGCCGTGGCAACCCACCGGGCCGGCCGGCCGCGAAGGCGCCGACCGGTGATCGCCACCGCGCCCCGCCTCGGAACGCCGTTTCCGCTTGGCGTCCGAGGCGCTCGGCGTTCCCGCTGGAGCGCGAGATCGGACCGGGTCGGACGCTCCTTTTCTCGCCGTAGGCACGGCTGGCCGGCTGGAGCAACGGAAAAACAAAAATCGCACGGCTCAATCCTCTCCGGCCAGCCTCGGGCTAGTTAATCACGTCAAAAATCGGAAGGTTCCGCCGCCCCGGATTCCACCTCCCTGGCCCTCCACGCCCCGCGCGCGCGACCGTATCACCGCCGCAGTCGGCCTCCCCGCCCCGCGCGCTGTAGGAGCGGCGCCCACCCACCGGAGACGCCTTCCCCTAGACCGCCCGACCACCCCACCCCCTTCGGCAGGTGCCTCGCACGTATTTTGAGCGCGAGAGGCCTCCTTTGAGGTGGCGGCCGGCCGCCGCGTCGCGCGGTGAGGCGGCATGAGGCCGTCCCCCTTCACGTTCGAAGGCGGCCC